GTTGGATCAGCTTTGTCCTTTTCAGGAGATGGGTGATTATGGTGATGATCCCAGCCACAAGGACTGGTGATCACTACACACAAAAAACCAGCAAACGGAACCCATCAATCACAGTGACAAATAATATCCCCTCCTTATCACAACAAAACACCCACAACCAAAAAAAAAAAAAAAACAATAGTCACCATCCAACAGCTATAAATACTCAATTCCCAAATAAACTGCACCAGAGCACAGAGTGCTACTCCTGTCCTCTGAAGATGCAGGCCACAGAAACTGTTGAAACATTGGGAAGAACAACCTTCAGAACACGGCCAAAGAGCCGCAAAACCCAACAACAACCATTAGATCCCGGCCGTGAAAGCCTTCACAAATACAAATATCTCGTTCTTTCTATCCTAACTATGTGATTTTTGGTAAAATTTTAAAAAATCAACTGAAAAGAAATGTTAATCTCTTTGCACTGTTCAGATTCAGTAGGTACATTGGTCCACAGTGAGATAGTTGTACCTACCTGCTATATATATTTCCTAAAGATGGGGAGCACCTTAGGAAAAAGAAGTGTCACCCTGTGAAGGACAGGAGGCTAGTGAGCCGTCCTCAACAAAAAGTGTACAGGAGGAAATGTATGGATGTGCCGAGGGTGTGCTTATAGAGATAGAGGAGGAAGGAGTAAAGGAGAAGAAGGCGATAGAAGTGTGTCTGGTGGAAGACAAGGAGGAGGATAAAGGGGAGGAACAGGATCTGATAGTGTCGGAGGAGGTTATAAAAGAGTGGGATGATGCACGGGAATTTAGAGGAAAAACAGACCAGACACGAAAATGTACTAGAGATTGCGTGGTACAAACAGAAAGGAATGAGGAGGTACTGGACAGGTTTGGTGATTTGTTAAAGGATTTTCCTAACCTGAAGACCAGTGGAGGATTACTTCCGGCTGCAGGCTTGCCTAGTAGTGCAGGGAGAGGGGTGAGACCACTAGAATGGACGGTTGTAGTCTACTCTTGCAACCAAGGTGGAGGGAGGAAAGTGATCCATCTCAGTCCCTCTTACAACAATCCACCTCTTGAAGGGGACTGGGAGAGACATCCTTGTTGTGGGATAGTGTGTATGGTAAGGAGTACCCCCTTGAAGGTGATAACCAATCGCGAGCGCTTTGGTCCAGCCCCAATGTAAGGAGTGACCTGTTTACGCCTGAAATTAAGATCTTAAGTTACAAGACAATACCTGAGCTGAGCTGTTTTGATCTGTTTAATTTGGTTGCCTCAGAAGTTGATGTTAATAAAGTTGAGTCTGTTGGATTTTCAAACCCACCTCCGTCTATTATTCCCGCCAAAATGAGGGAACCGTCACCAGCTCATGAAGAACCTGATCACACACACCCAATTCATAATTAGCTTGGTTGAATGTACAAGTAGTCTAACCCAATTTTTAAGAGTTCCTCCCCAAAAGTCCTGAATCCCATTTTTAATTTTAATTTTAAAAATCTGAATATGGAAAATATGAGATGTTAGGGAATTCTTTGACTGTGCAGCAAGACCTGAACAAAATGTGACACCACATCTAGAGTTGGATTAAGACTTAGGAGGTGAATTTTGAAATCTACACTAGCCATCAGTCCAATCCAAACTGGAAGATACAGTAGGTATTGTGGTCGAGTAGAATTCCCACTTCTGCAATCCTTCTTCAACCATTGGGAGTGATTTTCACTCACCTCCAGTCCATTGTCCATCTAGCGAGCCTATTTAGATCAGCAGGAAGTGAAACCTATGTGGAGGGTATATCAGGGGTCTCCTACCAACTCTCCTCAGTCTGAAGAAGCTACTTGGATGAGTATATAAAACATTTTTTTTATCTTTTATCAATTTATTTATATATTTTATCTATAAAATATTTCAACCTAATAATAATAAGAAAGAAGACCAGTTGCCATGACTCAGCTTCCAGATAACCTCACCTGGATAACTGAGAATATTCACAGATAGGTCCCTGATGAGGGTTTGTATTCACCACAAGCTTTAGCTAATGTTAGCTCTTGTATAGATAGGATTTCACCTTGCGCTTACCAGATAATCTTCAGCCAGTCACTAACAACTAGTTCCATTAAGCTTGAGTCCAGTCTCCGACGTAGAGAATTTCCCCCGCCTAAAGGTCCCATCCAGTTCATCATCCAGGATACAGTTTGTAAGTTCCACTTTGGCTAAATTAGGCTTTCAAGGGTTAATTTGTCTGTAGTTCAGGAGTCCAGTCTCCGACGTAGAGAATTTCCCCCGCCTAAAGGTCCCATCCAGTTCATCATCCAGGATACAGTTTGTAAGTTCCACTTTGGCTAAATTAGGCTTTCAAGGGTTAATTTGTCTGTAGTTCAGTACAATGTCAAAAATGATAGAATGATGTCAATACGAATCCAAGGCAGACCATTCAACATCACAATAATCCAAGTTTATGCACCAACCAGCATTGCTGAGGAGACTGAAATTGAACAATTCTATGAAGATTTACAACACCTTCTAGAACTGACACCAAAGAAAGATGTTCTTCTCATTCTAGGGGCCTGGAATGCTAAAGTAGGGAGCCAAGAGATAAAAGGAACAACAGGGAAGTTTGGCCTTGGAGTTCAGAACGAAGCAGGACAAAGGCTAATAGAGTTTTGTCAAGAGAATAAGCTGGTCATCACAAACACTCTTTTCCAACAACACAAGAGGCGACTCTATACATGGAAATCACCAGATGGGCAATATCGAAATCAGATTGATTATATTCTCTGCAGCCAAAGATGGAGAAGCTCTATACAGTCAGCAAAAACAAGACCTGGAGCTGACTGCAGTTCTGATCATCAGCTTCTCATAGCAAAATTCAAGCTTAGACTGAAGAGAGTAGGAAAAACCACTGGCCCACTCAGGTATAATCTAAACCAAATCCCTTATGAATACACAGTGGAAGTAAAGAACAGATTTAAGGAACTAGATTTGGTGGACAGAGTGCCTGAAGAACTTTGGATAGAGGCTCGTAACATTGTCCAGGAGGCAGCAACAAAAACCATCCCAAAGAAAAGGAAATGCAAGAAAGCAAAGTGGCTGTCCAACGAGGCCTTAGAAATAGCAGAGAGGAGAAGGGAAGCAAAATGCAACGGAGATAGGGAAAGTTACAGAAAATGGAATGCAGACTTCCAAAGAATAGCAAGGAGAGACAAGAGGGCCTTCTTAAATGAACAATGCAAAGAAACAGAGGAAGATAACAGAAAAGGAAAGACCAGAGATCTGTTCAGGAAAATTGGACATATTAGAGGAACATTTTGCGCAAAGATGAACATGATAAAAGACAAAAATGGGAGGGACCTAACAGAAGCAGAAGACGTCAAGAAGAGGTGGCAAGAATACACAGAGGAATTATATCAGAAAGATGTGGATATCCCGGACAACCCAGACAATGTAGTTGCTGACCTTGAGCCAGACATCCTGGAGAGCGAAGTCAAGTGGGCCTTAGAAAGCCTGGCTAACAACAAGGCCAGTGGAGGTGATGGCATTCCAATTGAACTATTTAAAATCTTGAAAGATGATGCTGTTAAGGTGCTACATTCAATATGCCAGCAAGTTTGGAAAACCCAACAGTGGCCAGAGGATTGGAAAAGATCAGTCTACATCCCAATCCCAAAGAAAGGCAGTGCCAAAGAATGCTCCAACTACCGTACAATTGCACTCATTTCACACGCTAGCAAGGTTATGCTCAAAATCCTACAAGGTAGGCTTCAGCAGTATGTGGACCGAGAACTCCCAGAAGTACAAGCTGGATTCCGAAGAGGCAGAGGAACTCGAGACCAAATTGCTAACTTGCGCTGGATTATGGAGAAAGCCAGAGAGTTCCAGAAAAATATCTACTTCTGCTTCATTGACTATGCAAAAGTACTGTACTGCCTGGACTGTCTTTTCCCTGCCTTCCCTGAACCTTTCTTGACCTAAGAAAAAAAGAAACAAAATATCCCCCTCTAGTGGTCGAAGGCGGAATAGCAGCTTCCCATTAGTTTCTATGGACGGAAAAGAGCAGATACGGATTAAATGGTTTCCAATGCATTCCTATGGGAAATGCAGATTTGACTTGGGAACTTTTTGACTTGAGAACCGCCTTCCAATACGGATTAAGTTCTCAAGTCAAGACCCCATTGTAATATAATATAATAGAATATAATATAATATAATATAATATAATATAATATAATATAATATAATATAATATAATATAATATAATATAATATAATATAATATAATATAATATAATATAATATAATATAATATAATATAATATAATATAATATAATATAATATAATATAATATAATATAATATAATATAATATAATATAATATAATATAATATAATATAATATAATATAATATAATATAATATAATATAATATAATATAATATAATATAATATAATATAATATAATATAATATAATATAATATAATATAATATAATGTTTGAAAAAATCATTTTGTTCCTCTTTGCAGCTCATCGTGTGTGGGGGATTTCCTGCCTTAGGTGCCAGAGTAACTTAGCTGGATTTGGACACTAAGCACCTTGACTTGGCAGGGCAAAGGGCATTTGCTGCTGTGCTTCAGACTATGCTGAGCTGTGCTTTGGCCTTTCCAACAGTTTGCACTACTTACTTAGACTGTGTACCTCCTGGCAAGAGTAACCATCTGCATAATCAAGGCATAAAAGTAGGAAAGAGATGTTGTGTACAACATGAAAATGAGATATCTCCTGGGATTCATAATTACAGTTGTGGTTCATTTTTGTAATTGAAGAATAAAATGTCTATGCAGTTTTTTTGTTTTTTGTATGTGGAGTTCCCAACTTGTGGAAAATGAACTGATACTATTAAAATATAATCTTAGCAACCAATGATTTTTTTTTTGTTTGCATCAAAGTGTTTTCCCTGCTTTTAGCAGTACAAGTATAGGTTTGATCACTAATTAGGTCCATGCACTTTTCTGTTTTAGGTGGTTTTTTGGCCCCATTAAACGAGCAGACGCCGAGAAACAACTGCTATACCCTGATAACCAGGAGGGAGCTTTTCTAATCAGAGAAAGTGAAAGTCAACGGGGAGAATTCTCACTTTCAGGTATCTTTCTCCTGGCAGATATGTGACATTTTCTTTCAATTTCTACAGTGTTTGTTCATGTAAAATCTATAATTGCTTTTTCTTCAAAAATGCATGGATGCCAACTGGCAACAACTACTGGCTCCCAAGCACCCTTTTTATCTTTTTAATTGCTCCTAATTTATAAATACGTGCATTCATGTATGAACCAGTCTTATCAAATATTTTTGAGAGGCTTTGAAAATCATGTCTCAGGCAGGGACTTAGTGGCTGTTCAGTGAGCTCAGCTTTGAGTCCATTAGGACAGGATGCAGATCCAAAATGTCCCTCCAACACTTTGCCCCACAAGAGAAGGGGCTTTCTCAGTTAGAATGGAAAAGATATATATATTTTTTAAAATTAATATTTCCCATTCATTTACTGCAAGATTATAAATTAAATGTGCACATATCTTTCATTTCCCCATTACCAAGAAGAAACTGCAGGTGGCAGAAGATTTTTTCTTTCTGTTCCTCTTCAAATTGTGTCCATGTGAATATGTGTGACTCAAAAGTATGCCTTTTGAAAACTGCACACAAATGCTTTAAGTATTTCGGGGAAAATAGATACTAATTATTTACATTAATAAAAATAGACAGTACGATATATACAGTTCTCCAGACATGAAATGAAAACATTTTTCACCCAATACAAACCAGGAGTGGAAAGAAAATTCATGTGAGATTTTTAGAAATGCAAAATAATTGAGACTGAGAGATTGTCACCATCCTGTTTTTAAAAGGTGGACCACACTACATTTGTGGTTATGCCTCATACGTTCTGTTGCCCCCGGCTTCCTAAAGCTCAAGAAGACTTTTCTGTTTCAGAAAACTTTTTCATATTATGCAGCCATGTTTTGATGCGGTGAATGAGATTGCAATGCTATTGTTCAGTATTTACATTTTTATTTTTGTATACAAATGATTGTTGTGTATGCTTGTGAGTTGTGCACATACAGTAGAACTGATCTATAAACCTTTGAATAACAAATGAATAAAGTTGATCAATAAAGATTAATTGAAAAATAATTGAATAAAACATTTAAATTGGCAACGTCTACACTCCTCTTTCATACCAGCTTCATTATATAATCACAGTTTTTTCTGTTGTTATAGAATGTCAACTTGAAACTGACTTATTGTAACCCTTATAGCATCTCTCTCTCTCTCTCTCTCATATGTGTGCAAGAGAAAGTGTATGTGTGTGACTGTAGTCAAAGGCAAGGTTTCATAATTTATTTAGGAGTGAAATCTTGCCTTTGTCTAAAGTTACAGAAACACGTGTGTGTGTGTGTGTGTGTGTGTGTATGTGTGTGTGTGTGTGTGTGTGTGTGAGAGAGAGAGAGAGAGAGAGAGAGAGAAGTTGAAATACAGGAAGAGATTATGAAATAACAAGCTTTGTGTGACCCCCTATGTATCCTCCATTGGTGGCTGGCAATAATTGGACATTTGTTTCAAGAAAACAGCTTTATATAGGATTGCAGGATATGCAACTTCAATATATGGTATCAATCATTTTACCTACAAGTTTTGTAAGAGCTATAACGTGGACTGATATGTCCTATAGATGTTTTATAGAATATATAGCAAAGCACTGTTATGTGCAATAACAGTCAACTTGCCATTTTGAATGTTTTTAGAAACTGCAGAATCCTAAAAATTTTATCACCAGATGGGGGTCTCTTTCACTCTCATTCTAGCTGTGTTCAAGTTTTATAACCTGAAAGCTGGTATGACTATAACCATGGTAGGAATGGGGCTGCCCTATATAAGTGCTACCCTATATCCACTCCGTTGGGATGTCAGTCACATCTTCACATTTTCAGCAACAAAGACCTGAAGGAGCATTTGTAATGTGTCGAGTTGAATGCACATACAAGCCCCTCTCAAGATGTTGATGCTGAACATGGGAAAGTTTTATTGACATTTTGGGTAAATGTTGCTGGTGGGACTTACATCACACCCCCAGCCCTATCTCCCCATGGTTATATTCCTAACCAATTTTATGCAGAATTTTTAAATAGGATTTTTCTCACACTCCCGTCTACTCTTTTGTGCCTGAATAAACGTGCACAATGTGAGTATATATTCTATGTGGGTACACACAATACTATCGGATTAAGCCACTCATATGTACTTCGGAGGACAGTTTTCTGACTGGATAATTGGTCATGCAATCAATTATGCTGATGAAGTGTCTAATATGTGCCATTTCTGTGCTTGCAGCAGACAGTTTTTCTGTTTATCTTGGCAGTGTGGGATGGAGATGCTGTGAAGCACTACAGAATCAAGCGAAAGGACAGTGGTGGCTTTTTTGTGACCAGCAGGAAAGCTTTCCCAACCTTGAATGATTTGGTCAGACACTACAGTAGTTCCAGTGATGGGTTGTGCATAAAGCTTGGGAAGCCATGTATAAAGGTAAAGTCATTTCCCCCACCTTTCAAATACAGAGAAACATTTGGTTGTTGAATTGATATGTACTCAGCCTTCCCCCACTGCCCATGATGATTACTTTAGGAACTCATACATGGCTGCACCATTTCATTCTCAGAGGTGGCATATCTATTTTAAAAAAGCCATGTTCTTTTGGACAAATAATTGTGTGGCTACAAGGGGCGGGGGGAAAGAAGCATGCCAGTCAGTGATTTATGAAGTCACACAATAAAGTAAATCTATATTGAGATGAAATCACCAAGCTCATAACTCTACTTGTCAATATGTACCAGCTGAAAACAACAGCTCCCAACCTCATCTGGTTCCTAAAGGCAATATTTCATTGTTTTGAAAACTTGTGTAGTTGGTTTCCCAATCTAGATATATTTTAATCTTCCACATTCCAAAACAATCACTCAGGCTCACAAAGCTATTACTCAAGGTTTTCAACCTTTCGCTGTGACACTGTTTCAGACGCTGTGGCCTCAAAGTGTGAATGTGTACACTATGGGAGTGAGACCGGATCTCCTTCAACTCACTGTATGCCACATCTTAACCTCTGTGGCAGAGATTCTTGCTGTCACAGTTCCTCCTGAATTTTGGCAGCAACTACAGTGGTTCTTTCTGGCACAGGCAGGGCAGAATGTCCTTCTGATCCAGAATGAGACATTTTTTGTTGTGTAACATTCAAAAGGCTATCAGCAACAGGAAAATAGTGCTCCTCTCTAGAGGTGCTTCATGCTGCCTCAGTGAAGTGGGGTCTCCTGGAAAGCAGCTTGTTGTCTTCATAGTAGGAAGCACCTGGTAATCCCTCATACAAAGACATGTCTGCTCACAAGAAGGACTGCTTTGTTTAGCAGCCACAACTTCTTTTTAGCACACTGTGGCCAAAATCCTATTGCATAATTACACCTGCGGACAACAAAGAGTGTAACTCGCAGCAGCTGCTCACTGCTAATTAACAAGTTCTAGTGTGGATTTTCTGGAACATCTCAAGTCACATGCTGAAAAATTCCAGCAGGGATTTTAAAATGAGCAGTGAGAAACCTCTGTGAGTTACACTGTTTGCCTTCTGCAGGTGTAACTATGCAATAGGATTTTGAGCTGTTTCTTAAAAAAAGGTAGAATAAAGTGCTGTCTTAGTGATAGGCAGAGTAGTTTCAAAAGATGGCCAATTTTATGTGATGTTATTTCTTTATCTCCACACAGATAGAAGTCCCAGCTCCTTATGATTTGTCATACCAAACAGTTGATCAGTGGGAGATAGACCGAAATTCCCTGCAGCTGCTGAAAAGATTGGGTTCTGGCCAGTTTGGTGAGGTCTGGGAAGGTTTGTGGAATAATACCACACCAGTAGCGATTAAAACTCTAAAACCTGGTATGTTTAATACTAAACTTTTAAACCAAATCACCATCTTCAATTATCCTGAAATACAAGTTAATAACAGCATTTTTCTAAAATTTATGTTATTATCACTTCATAGCCTGTAACATGTTCTGTCTTTTAACTTCAAAGTGTTCAGTCTGGTGCTGCCTTAACAAGTTTTCCCCCTAGAAAGACATTTCTTTGTTGCACTTGATGTGTTTTCAAGATTTCTACCCCACAAGGTGATATAAAAAGCGGTAGGCACAAGTCATTCCTCCCCTGAATAATCAGTCATTTCATCTGTTCCACATAAGTGATTTCTTAAATATGATTATTGTCATTTATTCTTTGTCCCCCACCCCCTCCCCGTAGCTCCATCCTACGGGTACAGTACTGTGTTAAAGCATCGGATTTAGGCTCTGTCTGATGGTAAAAGGAGAGAGAATAGGCACATTACAGAATGGTACACTAAAAAAAAAGTTAAACTGCATTGGGGCTTGGCGTTTATGAACTTCATTTCCATACACACATATTACATTGACTATTCACTTTATTCACTTTTAAACACTGAAGGTTTTTTGGAAGCTTCCTCCAAAATCGAATGTTTAGATTTCTCTGTTGCTCATTTTTTATACAATACAGTTTGGAGTTTTCCATTACATTAATTTATTTCAAGGTTATTTCAACATATCTTTGTTTGGTATGTGGTCTAATTTTTGTAAACCTACTGATAGCTTCTGACTTGTGTTATTCTAAAGAAAATTCAGTGGAGTATACTGGAAGAGGGGTAGATATGGTTTTCCCTCCCAATCATTAGCCCTGAGGAAGCATCACATATAGTCCCAGAGGGTTTCTCCTTTTTTCCTCCCAAACAGGAAGGTGAAGTCAGGAGTAAGGGGCTGAAGCAGAAAGTAAGAAGCCTTGTTACGGCAGTGGAACCCTTTCAGTTTTTGTTTGTATTGAAACCAAGTATGTAAAAGACAACAGCATTACAGTCAACCATGACAGGAAAGAGAAGGCAGCCTTTTTTGCTATCCCTTTCAATGGGAAATGGCAAACAAAAGATACCAACAGAGAGTATCCCACTTCTCAGAATTGAATTGTTGTTGTTGTTTAGTCATTAAGCCATGTCCAACTCTTCGCAACCCCATGGACCAAAGCATGCCAGGCCCTCCTGTCTTCCATTGCCTCTCAGGGTCAAATTCATGTTGGTAGCTTCGGTGACACTGTCCAACCATCTCATCCTCTGTCGTCCTCTTCTCCTCTTGCCATCATACTTTCCCAACATCAGAGTCTTTTCCAGGGAGTCTTCTCTTCTCATAAGATGGCCAAAATATTGGAGCCTCAGCTTCAGGATCTGTCCTTCCAGTGAGCACTCAGGGTTGATTTCCTTTAGAATGGATAGGTTTGTTCTCCTTGCAGTCCAGGGGACTCTCAAGAGTCTCCTCCAGCACCACAATTCAAAAGCATCAATTCTTCGGTGGTCAGCTTTCTTTTAGGTCCAGCTCTCACTTCCATACATCGCTACTGGAAAAACCAGAGCTTTGACTATGCGGACATTTGTCGGCAAGGTGATGTCTCTGCCTGAGACATTCAGAATTGAATGAAGACTCCCAATACCTTTCAAAAGTTCTGGAGGGAAACCGAATTTGACAAGCATAGTGAAATAAATAGCTAATGTATTTTGCCAAAGGGTTTTTCTGTGTTAATTTTTTTAAAAAAAGCAGTCTGATCAGATGTCCTTTTTTCAGAGCAACGAAATCAATAGCCAATCTGAGGTTATACTTTGCATAAGTCCTATGTGATCTGGATAGACCAGGGGTTTTAATAATTTTTTTAAAAAATCTGTTAGCAAGAATTGCAGCATTCATATCTTAGCACCAGTATTCATACGCCAAAAGTTTGCACATTGGCAGGAAATCATTCTTAAAATGTTCACTATACATCTGATACAGGTTTGGAATTCTTTTCCATTTGTAGATGAGGTAATTTTTTGAAATGCAAAAATGAATTGAAATGAAATTACCCATTCCCAGTAAGAAAAAGGCTATCAACAATGTTTGAGTTCTTTGTTTGTTTTTGTTTTCTTCTAACCAGTTTTTCTAACTGTAGGGTGCTGTGTGATCCAGATATCTTCTGGCACATGCATTAGAGATTACACCCATGGAACATCTGTTTCCCCCCCCTACCAGCCATATTCCCAGCCACACTGTAATGTGTTTAAAATATGATAGGAACTGGAGTAAAAATAGAAATGAAAAGCACATTGATGGTACAGGTCACATGATCACAGCAATACAATTTCCCGTGGCATTTCATCAATTAATTGCATGCCAGAGTATGTAGATTCTCTGGTGACATGACTGACACTCTTAGATACAGGGTCAAGGAACTACATTAGTGTCTTGTACTCTGTCTAATAGATGATTTGGAATTCACAGTGAGGACTTGATGTATGACATTACAGTTTGTTAGTACATGTCATGAACTCATTTCCAATGTAGAGTGGCCCTAACAGGGTTTTTCAGATATGCAGAAGGCATTCCAGGAATGGCTTACCATAGCCAGCTCTCTCTCCCATAAGTTTCCATAGCCAAGTGAGGATTTGAACCCCAGTCTCCTGGGTCCTGTTCTGACACTCCAGCCACTATGCTGTATTGGCTCTCAACGTAATGTTACTCCTGATATGTTTATCCCGTATTCCTCTGAAACGCAAATGATGCATTTTTAAAGCATCAAGAAATTAATTATTTAATTTAATGTATATTTTGCCTTTCTTGTAATGAGTACAAAGTGATATGTATGACTCTCCTCATCCTCAATTTATCCTCACAACAGCTCTGTCAGGCTGGGGGTGTGTGACTGGCTCAAGGTCACTCAGTGAGTTTCATTTCCAGGTGGATATCTGAAACGTGACCTTCTGAGTTCTCCCTGTAGCAAGCATGGGGGCAGATATCATTATGATATATCTAAGTTTTTTTTTTAAGTGAACAGAAGAAGAGTATGTTGTAATCTAAAGAAACAGCAGAAGATGAGTGGGTGGTGAAAATCCACTTCAATTTCAATGACGTAAAATCGAGATGCCATTTTTATATCCACAATTCAAATTAGGAAATGTTTACCTCATGGTACAGAGGTTTTTAAATCATTTGATTATAGTGCAAATTTAAGGCAGTTCAGCTATACTAAATTCAGTACTTCATGGCCTTGACTGATGCAACCTAAATCAGTTGTCTGGATCTAATAATGTTTACTTCACTTTGGGTAGTTAGGAGCACTGCTGACTGGGACAGATTAAGAGTGGGGTAGATAACTGCAGTGGTCTGTACTGCATATCCTGTGCATTCAGGATTGAGTGTGATTGGGTGCTTCTTGCGATCCAATTATGTTTTATTTTAGGTTCACAAAGATTTTCCAGAAGAAGTAAGGAAGGTAAATAGATTTCCTCTCAAACTATGGTGAAAATAAAACTAATTGATCTCCTGCTCAGAGCAAGTACTTTATTTCTGTATATCCTAGTTCTTTTTCTGTTATCTTGTTGACTAGCAGAAATATTTTCTGGATTAAATACTATTAGTTTCTTCCCGCACCTCCATAGTTTTTCTCTCCTCTCTTTTTTTCCAACTTTCTTTCTCTCCCACCAGCCCTGTGGTCATTTAGCCTTTCCCTCCCTAAATATTCACCACCACCTTTGCCAGGCACTTTCTCCTCTGTCTCTAAGGGGTGCTTCAGGTAACCCCCTCTTCCTCAATTCCAGAAAAACTGGTGATCACTTTTCTGTATTAATTTTCCATGCACTCTTTTTAAAGATGCTTTACAGCTATAGTTAAGATTAATTACCATCACAGCATTTTGACTACTGTGTTTAAAGCTTTTATAGACAAGCAGATAAATCAATAGTGCCCATGATACCGTATTCAGCGTAACAGATTGAATACAGTATTGTGCAATATAAGAGCCTTTGCTGCTTTATCCTATAGTGAACAGACCTACTCTGGATCGTAACCTGCATGAACCTGAGTTTAATCCTTGTTTCCTTTTTAATTTTTTTAAAAAAATCTGCTAGAATTTAACAAACGTGTTTCTGGAATGCTTCCTTCATTTTGTCTTAAAATTCATGGGTGCAGGGAAATTAGAATGGGGTCCACATAGGGAACAGACGTGTCCCAGTGGTAATGCAGCTGTAAAACCAATTTAGTTTCTGCCGGCTTGTGCTGGTTTGCTCTGCATATGGGCCCCTAGGATCACAAAGCAGATCTTTTAGTATGATGAGTGGATGCCCTGTTGTGGATGGAAAGATGAGAGAAATGTATGCAGAGTATGGATAATGGGCACAGACGTCAGCAAGGATGCAATTTCTGGATGGAGGATTTGCGAAGGGTGCTGGCTTGGCTCTAACCCAGGTAGGAAGCTACTTGTCTCCCCATTAAACATGCCGAGGTATGAAGAAAGGAAGATTTGTCATCAAATCTAAATTTGCCTATTATTATGGATAGTTCAGTAGTTTAGTCATCTGGCTGCAGAGACAGAGGTTGGGAGTTTGATTCCCTGTTCTACCTCCTTGACAGAGGCTGGACTTGAGGATTCATAGCTCTGCGGTTCTGTGATGGTGATGCTATTCCATGATTGTTCAGTCTCCAGTCCCTCTCATTCTAAATCCTTCTAGGTGTCCCTTAGTACTACAAAATGAAGAGTAGCATGACACTTTGGACAGAATGCTGCGGCTGAAGCTACGTAGTTCCTGTGGAATTTAATTCTAGTTTTTATTAAGGTGGGGAGTAAATAGGCAATATCCTTTCAAAATAATAATGTGGATTCTCTTAAGATTTGCTTGAAGTTTCCTGGCAATATATAGTAAATAGTATATTTGGATGTAATATCAAATGGGTTTCTTCAATATATCATTTTTTATTTATCAAATCAACTGCCCAGAAATGTATTAGTTCTAATTTATTTTCATTATTATGTTATTCTGACATGTCTTAAAAACATTTAAAATACTTTATGTTCAATAAATGATAAATAATATATTTTTAGGGGGGAAAAACTCTTGCTGACAGTTGATTGGACATGTATGGATCAAAAGTCATGTTGAAAATTGTGCTCTAGTATACAAAATCTTTGCCTGTGATAGAGGTATACTACAATTATGAGGCAAGGAAACTAACAATTTACCCATTTAATAAAATATAGCATAGCAACAATATTTTTAGGAATACTGAAGTCTGCAGTGTTTGATTACTTAAGACTTTTCAAGATATATGCACATTTACTTCTGACAATTTTCTCCCAAGCTGGTAAGAAACTGATCTTTGATCCTGCCAATACTGGATTAAAAGTCCCTGTGATAAATCTGCAGCCTTTCTGTTTTAGAAAGGGGTTCAATTAACCTTCCAGAGGGAGGCATAAGATTCCTAATTAAACTAGCAGCAATCCTCATACAAGTGATGCATAAAATTATTGTTGTTGCTGCATCAGTTCTGGGTTGATGTTGTTCATGTCATTTTTGTAAGCGTTGCCAGTTGCATTATTGACACTAGCTAATCCATCATATTGAAATAATTTTCACAGCTGTTTTGATGTACTTGGATGGTAGTTGCTGGATTGTGTTATTGTTGAATATCCTTCCTTCTCCTTCCTTCCTTCCTTCCTTCCTTCCTTCCTTCCTTCCTTCCTTCCTTCCTTCCTTCCTTCCTTCCTTCCTATGTGTTTACTGCCCATTAGTGCAAATACTTTCTGGACAGAATAGTTACTGTCAGGATAGGGGAATGGCAAAAAAGATACCATATGATAGTAGAAAGGATCCAGGAGTGGCGTCCTAGGGATTAACAGAACCTACGAATAAAGCCAATAGTAAATGTCGAAGTCAAACACAACAGTGTGTCCAGAGCACTCATAGAAGACAAATAGTATTATCTTAATGTGTATCTGAAAACACACTGGCTTAAAGGAGGTTACATGCAAATCTATTTATGTCTATTTATGAAATATATTTATGTCCAATCTTTCATATTTAGAGCTGGAGACAGTGGACATGATTTTCCTCCAGTACAGCTTATCCTCATGCCAATCGTGTGAAATTGTTCAGGCCAACCAAATACCTTATCATGGCCTGTTAGATATTATAATCTAGATCTCCTGTGTACCATTCCAGTACTCTAATCACCACACCACAGCACACTGGTTTTACATCTAAATTGAAAAATATAACATCCGCATGTATAACTTGCTACGGGGCATCTTAGTTGTTGAAATAGGGCTATGACCAGATAGACCTTGTCAGTTAGCTGCAATGAACTACAGCAAGTTATGCAAACCTTATACAGACACCACTAGGTGTTTGGCCATTTTGGGACAAGGATCTCGAGGAAGGCATACATCAGAAAAAACAAGAACGTTGATAAGACTTTGGCCAATATTAATATAAAAACAAGGGACCACACAGGGTGTGTTACATACATTTGTCTGTAAGGTTAATTTGGTACAATTTTACAACAATATGCATATTCTAGCCCTGTCCAGGCACAGTAAAAGCATCTAAAATCAACATCCAAGGAGGAGGAACATGCTAGCCACATGTTTTCCATCATCATTTTCATGGACCTCCTCATATGGAGGGTGATTTTGAGAACACAGGAGAAGATCTATGGAAACTCTCCCTGCAGTCTGGAATCTGACTTTCCAGCATCTCCCAATTGTCAGGAGAGTTCCCGTGACCTTCTCCTGATCAGAAAAACTGCTCTCCATGTGGGAAGAGAGAGGATGGAGGGGAGGGGAAGGGAGGGAAGCTACAGTGTGCCCTCTCTTTGCATGTTTACCTTACATCATTCTAGAATGCCTGAACAAATCTCAGGCGGCTTTCACTTGTTTGAAAAGACAAAGGCAATAGTTACCATGAATGGCTTGGCATGACATTGTGCATCTTCGGTCTTTCCCTGGATAGTTTTTTTCAGGGGAGAATTACTAAATTATGTATTTATCATCAGACTTCATATGAGAAAATGCTCCAGTGAAAGCAAACCCCACAGAGTAAGATGATCCATCCTGTGTAATGGTAGCACATAAACTATCTGCAGCTGTTCTCAATCTTCCTTCTCTCAGCAAGGCAAGGACCTTTCTCTTCAGGCAAGCCTTCCCAAAGTAACCGCTAGTGTGTGTGATTTTTAGGTATATTTTTATACATTATTGCTTTGACTGGATTTTTAGTACTTCTTGCGTTATCCACTTTTGTGTTTTCCATTTCTCAGAGTGACATTTTTTGGTACTGATTTTTGCCTTAATATTGCCTGTTAATGTTGTAAGATGCTTCCTTATCCCTTGTTCTTAGTTTTAAATACAGTGGTGCCTCGCATAGCGACATTAATCTGTGCAGCAAAAATTGCTGCTAAGCGATTTCATCGCGATGCGATTTTAATGCGTTCCTATGGGCTTAAAACTCACCTTAAAGTGAAGATCCTCCATATGGCTGCCATTTTCGCTGCCTCTTAAGCGAGGAATCCGTCCCTACACACAGCGGGCGGCCATTTTTTTTACCCAGTGGCCATTTTGGAACCGCCGATCAGCTGTTAAAAAATCATCGCAAAGCGAAAAAAACCCATTTAAAACATTGCAATGCAATCGCTTTTGCGATCGCAAAACATATTCGCTATGCAGTTTCATCGCTAAACGGAGCGCCCGTTAAGCAAGGCACCACTGTATTGTCTTTTAATGATGTTAACTACCATTGTATATTCATTGTTTTCAACTTTAAATATTGTCTTTCATTGTATGCTGCCTTGGGTCTTTTTCAAGGAGAAAGGCAGGGTAAAATATTTTAAATAAATAATTTTTTTTGCCACAGCCATAAACTCAATGTACAAGAAATGTAACATGAATCAGGATTGTATAAGTCACAAAACAAACCATGTGAAGTAGTGTGTGAAGAATTGTTTCCAGTCTGTGCCCTCTTTCAAATGTGCCGGGGGAGGGGAAGGCAAGTTGCCACATGGCCCCCATTGAGAATGGCACTAGTCTGGGACGCTAGCCTTCATCTGTTACCACCTCATGTTGCCACTGGAAGCATTTGGCAGTCTTACTTCAGTCTACAGAGTGACAAGCTTGGCAAACAAACAAACAACAACACAACCCTAAAAGTCCTTCTCTAAATTCCTGTGTGAAAGTATACCCTTGGCTATATCGGGGGGGGGCATTTTTGAATATCAGGAGAAGGAGGAGAAGGAGCTGACTGTATTTACTGTTGACACAGGATGTATTTCCATGATATTTTCCAATGCCTCTCAGCATCTGGGATGCTTTTTATAAGTTCTTGTGAAGTCTGACTTTCTCCAGGCAGTTGGCAAACGTACTGTGCGTGGGGATGGAGCAGAAAGGCTGTATTTCATTCCTTGGGTGTGAAGACTACAATAAAATTCCAAGTAATAAACATGTTCTGCTCCCAGGTATAATGACTGCTACAGTGTGGCTCAGAGGTGATGAAGAAGCAAATCGTTAAGGCTCAGATCTGTAGTTCGAGGGATTGATGCAGACAACTAATGTTGTAAATTACTGCCCTGATCCTAATCATAGCCACATTTCTAGTATCTACGAGCTGTAGTGAAACCAATAAAATATTTCTACACCTTTAGTCATAAAATGGCCAGTAGCCTTCGTGTGGAGGAGACTACAGTTATCATTGTCTTTTTTCATTTAACTTGGGAAAAGTAAGAATACATAAAGTCTGTTCTTTTTTTTTATTTTGCTGTTTTTCACTTCACTGAATTCCTTAAATTAGAAGAGTTCTGCATTGATGTCTGTGCTACTTTGCAAAGAGAAAGAAAGCATCTTTGTTATTTTTGCTCAAGACTGTGGGGCATACAAACATAGCCCTTGATATCACGGGCTAATTTTGTTTTGTTTCTGTTCTCATTCCAGGTTCAATGGATCCAGCGGATTTCCTGAGGGAAGCGCAGATAATGAAGAACCTGAGACACCCAAAGCTGATACAGCTGTATGCGGTCTGCACTTTAGAGGATCCAATTTATATTATTACAGAACTGATGAGATATGGAAGTCTGCTAGAATACCTCCAAAGTGAGTTGGATAATTCGATCCATTTCATTTAGAAATGTTGTGTGCAGCATGAAGTATAGCAAATGTGCTAGTCCAAAATGAAGAAGAAGATGGTGGAGTTAAGCAGCTCCATAAGCTCTGACAGGATATGAAGGCTACAGTGGTTGGTTGGGAATCCACATAACAGCACCGTTGGCTATATAAATGCAGTGAAAGACCATCTACCTTTCTGCTTGCACCAGGAACGGAGAGAATGGCATGTTACATGTATCCATTCCTGTCTGTCTGTCTGTCTGTCTGTCTGTCTGTCTGTCTGTCTGTCTGTCTGTCTGTCTGTCTGTCTGTCTGTCTGTCTGTCTGTCTGTCTGTCTGTCTGTCTGTCTGTCTGTCTGTCTGTCTGTCTGTCTGTCTGTCTGTCTGTCTGTCTGTCTGTCTGTCTGTCTGTCTGTCTGTCTGTCTGTCTGTCTGTCTGTCTGTCTGTCTGTCTGTCTGTCTGTCTGTCTGTCTGTCTGTCTGTCTGTCTGTCTGTCTGTCTGTCTGTCTGTCTGTCTGTCTGTCTGTCTGTCTGTCTGTCTGTCTGTCTGTCTGTCTGTCTGTCTGTCTGTCTGTCTGTCTGTCTGTCTGTCTGTCTGTCTGTCTGTCTGTCTGTCTGTCTGTCTGTCTGTCTATATGCAGCCATACTCAACCTATATATTTTCAATACATCCTGTGATGCGATACCAATTTAATGGAAAAAATGGATACATGTAACACGCCATTCTCTCTGTTCCTGGTGGAAGCATACGCATACATATTTTAAATAAATATATTTTATTTTTCCAAAACAAATACAACAATACAAAATACTTACTAACACTCTAAAACACAGCACACCCCGTACCCATGGGACCCTTTGGAGCAATTCTTTTATTAAGAACCTCCTTTCCAAAATTGTATTGATTGTTGTTTAGAGGCATTCCTCTTTCCTTTCATAATACAAATTCAATAAATCTACCCCAAATAACATAAAAAATATTTAAACTTATTTTTCCTCTTTTCATCTTAAGTTCAGTAGTCAATTTGTCATTTAACGCAATGTCCCATACTTAGTTATACCACTCTTCTAATTTGATATTGTGTTTGTCTTTCCAGTGTCTAAGCTGTTAATATTCTAGCACTTGTCATAAAATTAGAAATTAATTTCTTTGAGTACTAATCAAGTTCTATCGTATCAAAATTTAACAGCAAAGCAATTTTAGAGTTAAATTCAATATCTTTCCCAAATATATCACATATTTCCTTAAAAATTAATTTCCAAAATTTCTGAATCATTTTACTCCCACCACATATGATAATATGTGCCAATTTTTTCATCACATTTCCAACAGGCCTTAGAATAGTCTGGATTTTTTATGTTCAATTTCACAGGAGTCATGTACCACCTTAAACTATTTTTTTTTTAAAAAAATAACCAGCCCTTTACAAACATGAGATGAATAAGATAGAGTTCCAAATGACAGGCAGTGACTTTTAGAAAAGCCTGACTATTAGCATCTCTCAATACAGGCCTTATTCTCTTTTCTGCTTTATTGGAGATGTGCAATTTGTGCTGTCTGCATGCACACCAAGATGAATGCAGACATGCAAATTACATAAAAGGCATCCAAGTAGCAACAAAGCAAAAAGTCTATGATAGACAAGAGCACTGCTATGAGTGCAATTCTATGTATCTCTGCTTAGAAGTAAGCTACAGTGAGTACACTGACACTTACTCCCAGGTAGAAGGGTCTGTGATTCTTCTCTTTCAAAGGGGCTAGAGCAGAGCTGTAGAACATGCTGGATACCCATCATCCCTCATCATTGACTATGCTGGCAAGAGCTAACAGGAGTTGCAGTGTAATAATATCAGCAGTCCCAGCTCTAGAGCTACAACTGGGCCATTCTGAATTAGCACAGCACTTTTAAACATGGTAGCCAAAAAAAGAGGAGACGAGTGCAAGGTTGCACATATTTGCATACAGTAATTTACACATATAGAGGCAAATTTATACATAGATGCAAATAATTAGTGCAACTTAAATATTTAAACACAGAAGAAAATAATTACTGTAATTTAAATACTTTTACTGTACATAGAAGCAAATAACCAGTGTAATTTAAAGATGAACATAGTGCAGCTCACCATAAAGGGAATGTCTCAGTTTCCGCCCTTGACCTGTGATAAAGAAGGAATAATATTAGCAAGGCATTAGTACATGATTCACTTCCAGCATATACCTTGAACCAGCAATACAGGTGGAGTGGAAGTGGAGGACATTGCAAGGTTGCTGTAAGTGTTCTCTCATTCTGCAACACATGGGAAACAGTGTGAAGTTGGACCACATTATGCGATTCCTGGATGCAGCTCCCTCCATTTAAGAGCTAACTTCCCATAATGATACTGTATACGTATAATGATCCTTAGCTGTGTTTATGGTTGTTAAATCACACATACACTCTCTGTCTAACCTCCACTAGCAGTCCTAATCTTAAAGTACATTGCAGGGCTTCCATAAGCCACCTGGCTAACTGGCCAGAAATGGCTAACTAAGGCATGAGCCACAGGCCTCTCTGACCTGCAGAATAGAAGTAATAGTCTGAAGCACTCAAACTCGTATTTGTATTGGCAAATCTATATGTTCCATACAAAATAAGAGGTTAGTTAGTTTGTTTAAATTATTTATATACCACCTTTCTCACCAAAGGTGACACAAGGTGGCTCACAACAGATTAAAAAAGAACAGGAGGTCTTATCTTTCTTTAATTGTGGGAGAAGGAGGAGAGATGCAAAATGGTCAGCATTTTCTTCCATACATACACAAATGGCATATTTCACCTTAAATTAAGAAATCACCATAGACATTACCAGTTGCACACCGAATGATACAACCCAATATGCAACAGACAATGTTTATGGTAATTTCTTAACTTGGGTCAATTCATCTCCAAAAGTTATGCTGAATTTCGCAATTCAGAAAAAGTACATATAGGAGGAGTAGATATTAGCTGTGGTTCCGATGGCAATTTTTACATATATTTTAATTGCATTTTAATTGTTATGAATTTTTATTGTATTTTAAATGTTGTAAGCCGCCCAGAGATCTTTGGGTAGTGTGGGTGGCATATAAACAAACAAACAAACAAACAAGCTCTAGAGCTGAATTTCTCATCCGCAGGAACCACTGGGTCTTTTCTCCAAAAAATCTACTTCAGTATTGCAAGGTGCTTGGTTTAGCCTTAAGCATGTAGAGAGGGCCATGCAGTTCATTTATCAACAGATCTGCTTTCATCACACTTTTCATGTGGAATTGAGGAAGAAAGAGGGGTCTGGTAACCGCAAAAAACAGTCTTTGGGGCAGGGGTGGTCTCAAGGCCATGAGTTTCCCACTTCTGGTGCAGCACTACTCTGAGCTATATTCCAGATAGAACGTAGTAACCAAAGAGGCACTAAATAATATTGAGTGCCTGCCTGACTTGGAAGAGTTGGACAACAAACCAACTTTAGCAGAAATAAAAGTGGCCTTGGATTCCCTCACCTCCGGCAAGGCACCTGAGAATGATAACATCCCTGCTGAAGTGCTGTAAAGAGACCATCACCACTGAGCTGTATGAAATCTTTTGTCTTTGCTGGAGGGAAGGTGGAGTACCAGAACATGAAGGATGCAAACATCGTCACATTGTATAAGAACAAAGGAGATGGAGCGACTGCAATAACTACCATGGCATCACTTTTCTCAGTGTTGTAGGGAAGTTGCTTGCCCGTGTTGTGCTGAAGAGACTCCAGGTACTTGCAGACAGAGTCCATCCAGAATCACAGTGTGGATTTTGAGCTAATAGATCCACCACTGACATGGTATTCTCCCTCAGACAGTTGCAGGAGAAATGTAGGGAACAACGACAGCCACTCTTTGTGGCCTTCATAGATCTCACAAAGGCCTTTGATTTGATTAGCAGGGAT